CAAACCAAAAAAGAAAAAAACTACCACCTTTAACCAAAAGAGGGGAAAACCAGTCAAGCTCGTTCCGTAGGCATGAAGAGCTTTTATTGTGGGGAATCATGGTAGCCCAGTTGGTTGGCTACCTAAACTTCCACCTTGTTGTGGGGGGTCGATTCTCCACCTTGTAATCTCCTCCCTAATTCCCCTTCTCCTCCCCTAAGAATAATAAAAAAGATTTTTTTAAAAAAGTTTTTGTTGTGATGTGGAGATAGAACACACCTCCTTGGGGGGTTTCTTGTTCTAATAGCTCTCATCAGTATCCTCGGGGTTTTGCATGTGATTTAAATGTCATCATATAGTGTATTGGTCATTTATTTGCTTCATCATAATTACCATTATGTTATCTCTTTGACCTCTTAATTCAATTCCGGAGAGAAACTCTACTGGTGGAAACTTTGCTTTGTCCGAATGGATTCAACTTGTTAAATCTTCTTTTCCGGACCCTAGAACTCTCTTGGTATGCTGTATAGCTGTATATGATTTTGATGTTGTATAAGTTTTCACTTCAAGTAACGACTTGCATAGGAACCAACTTCATGGCTCTTGGGATCGGATGTTGTTGTGGTTGACCCTCCGAGGAAAGGGTTGGACCCGTCCTTGGTGAAGGAACTACGGCATATCTCAGCATTGAAACTGAGAGCCAATTCATCTAAAAGGTAGAGTAAGAGAAAATTCTGGGAAGTATGTGGGTTGCTATATTGTTATGAAAATTCACGATCATTGATGTGCTACAGCATTCAATGTGTTCCTGTCATCCACTTATGTTTTATTTGTTATGGTAGACCTGAAAAGGTCAGAGACGAGAAGAGACCGTGGGTCCTGCGTGCCAGAGAAGCTGCAATTCAAATTGAAAACACAACTGTACATGAGGAAGATCAATCATTGCCTCAGACTCTTATCTATATTAGCTGTGGTTGGGAAAGTTTTAAAGAGGTATGTGGCCTTCCTTCAAATCCATATTAGATTGAGATGCAGCTCTTTGATCTCTGCGTCTTAATACAATTCGTTTGAACTACCATTCAATTTGATCAAGTTTTTGGTTCATAAGATGCAATTCAACTTTGGGCACTGAACTATGTCATCTTGAAGCTGATTATAGGCCCTTTTTCATGCAGGATTGCTTGTCACTGCTAGCTAGTAAGGAATGGCATTTGCATAAAGCCCATGGCTTTAATTTCTTTCCTGGAACACAAAGGTTTTGTCATTCCCTCTTGTAATTCATGTAGTCCTACAAACAAATTTAAACTTGCATCTGTGTCAACTAAAATTAAATTTCATCGAATATGATTACAAATAACTATGAAGTATTATTTATTATTTTCATTCACGTATATGCATAATAAACACATTTGCTTGAAGGAAGAAACTGTGTGTTGCACAAAAAATTCTGAATGGTCTTCCAGTATAGTGTTCTAATAAGGGGAGAAACTAGGGGTGTGTTTGGTATGAAGGAAAATGTTTTCCATGGAAAATGTTTTCCTAGAAAATGTTTTTATGGAAAATGAGTGGTTTTATCACTTATTTTCCCTTGTTTGGTTGGCGAGTGGAAAACTTTTTCCGGAAAATACCCAAAAGAACTAATGTGATGCTCTACTTTTTTACACAAAAACGTTGAAATTTATGCTCCATAGCTAAAAAGAAAATACTCTTTTTTGGGTTGAAAAAAAAAGTAAAGTACTCTCTACAACATGAAAATAAAGTATTCATTTTATTGAAATAAAAAAAAATACTTTTCTATATCATGAAAGGAAAATACTCATTTTGTTGAAATGAAAAAAAATACTTTGTTGAAATGAAAGAAAATACTTTTTCTACATCATGAAAAGAAAATATTCATTTTGTTGAAATGATAATGCTTTTTCTACATCATGAAAAGAAAATACTCCTTTTGTTGAAATGAAAGAAAATACTTTTTACTTCATCATTTTTTGTTGAAATGAAAGAAAATACTTTTTATACGTCATGAAAAGAAAGTAATTTTTTTGTTAAAATGAAAAAAATATTTTTTTTATATCATGAAAAGGAAATACTCATTTGTTGAAATAAAAAAAANTTGGGGATTGGTGGGGAAGGTTCCAATTGGAGGAAAAAGAGTTCATGAGAAAAATGTTTTCCAAAACATTTAAGCCAACCAAACATGGGAAATTGAAAAATTCATACCAAACACACCCTAAATGAAAAGGCTTTATGCTTGTGCCACTATGGAGAAGAGGATGGAAGATTCTTGGTAATTCTGTATAGGAACATCTATATGGGAGAGATGATATTTCTCTCTTTTAGATTATTATTTTTCAGTTCTTTTCCTTTCCATTATCACCTAGTTTATGGATCCAAGGAATCACCGCTCACAAATACTCGGACATGCCTATGAATAGCACTTCTATGTGGAAATTGCTACTTGATGTTTGTTAGATGTGTGGAAGGGACTTACTAATTTTAAGTATGCCTGTAATAAGGACATTTCTACATTTGAGATTGTGCATTAGTGTTCACTGATTGTTGAGAAAATATAGCTTTCAACTGGAACTCACCAATCCCATTGGAGATAGCAAGGGAATGAAATAGACATTGCAGAGGACCAAGAGGTTGGAGGGGCAGGGTTTGTAGATGCTCACATTCTAATTTCTAAAGAAACTAAGAAAGAAAATCTCCTCTATTTTGGGCATAAAGATAATTCTTGTTAAATATAAAAATGTCCCCTCTTTTTTGTCAACTTCTTTTTTTTACCTTATGCATGTTCTTATCTGTTTTAAGATCCCTGTCCCTTGCTTTGTTGGTATGTGATGCTCAAATGCTTTTGCTTGAACCTTCATTCGTTTGACTGCTTCAGTGATCTTTTATGTTTGTGGGGCATAGTTTCATAACATCATTTTAAAGAAATTAATCTGACTGGATGCAGTATTGAGATTCTAGCTGTGTTTAAACGAGGCAGAGGAGCTAGCACCAAGAAGAAGAAATCGGGGAAAAAACAAAAGAGACCCCACTGAATAACTCAGTAGAAGAAGAAGCCAATGTTGAAGGAACACAACTGTAGAAAGGAGAAGCCCACATTCTGGAATTCTTTCCAAGGCATAAGAGCATTCTTCATGATGTTGTTCTTGCCGTATGGGTCAAAGAATGACTCACGCCAGTCCAACTGCTGTATTATTTAATGCTGTGCAAGTCATTTAGTGTGTAATTTAAAATGCTTTTTAGATACGAAATTTCACTCATTTCTGGTATCTTTCACGTCCTTAGCATTGTAGTTGCAAGAAGCAAATAATGTAGGGGTTTGGGGTAGGGAGAAGAATTCATGGTTTCATGTATAGCAAGAAATAATCTTTTGGCTCTTCAAGCATCTCCCCGGTCTTTCTGTTTGGTCTCCATCATTTCTCCTTTCTGGGTAACAGAGCACGTAACTGTTGGATCTCTGGATGCTTTATCTAATGAAAGTATATAGTAGCAATATTATTGTTCTTTTACTCTATGATATGCAAACGTATGTGATGATAAATGTACTAAAATACTTATTCTAAATGGCCAGACATCAATGGAAGTTCCTTTCCAAGAGGTCTTTCAAGATCGTGCAAGAGTCAGAGCTCAAATGCAGGATAATCGTGGCTGTCGGTCAGTTCTACTCATTGATGACCATCATCAAACCAAAGTTTCTTTGTATTTGAATGTACAGAGCTATTGGAGATATACACATAGTTAATGACTATACAAATTCAGATCATACCTCTTTTACATTATATTGACCGAGGAAATATATTCAAAGCTAGTACTTCGACAATCGAAACTACAATGGTAAGTAGATATCAAGTCATCAACTGCTGAAGTGGGTTTATATTCCACGTAAAATCTGCGCCCTGAGCAGCTGCACTTGTACCCTATAATCCTGCAAAATTGTATGTTAGGAAGAAGATGCTCAAAAGAGACTACAAGAACCTTATTAAACAATGACTTACAAAGCAAAGAAAAGTAAAGGTCGCATGCCATATAAGACCAAAATGTATAGTATTTGGTGATACCAATTCTCATTAACTGCCATTGACAGGCAGGAAACCTTTCCGTCATCTTTTAACAAATGTAGTTATGAGGAGGAAGAAAAGGGATATGCAAAATCTGACAGATGGATTTGATAGAAATAGCGGCTTGTAAAATAGTGGCAGCTTTTAAAATTTCGATACTACAGTTTTGAGAAGAGAGTTTGGCTGAAATACACATTTAACTTATTGTATACTCGATTTTCACACACACATAGGGTTCGAGCTGATAATCGTAAGTCTGCTTAACCTGTGGAACCCCTCTAGATCTGCCACAACTGTAAACCATACACATGAAGCACTTTTTCCTGGTTTATATTCACAGGCCTCTCTCAAATGGCATCCTTTTTTTTTTTGGTTAATCGGAAAATTTTATTTAACCAAGTATATCAGAATGTACAATTGACTCTTTGGACTCTAGAGACAGATCTCAGTATTCATACATTTTGGAACTATTCTACCTCTACTCTCTTCAACCATCAAATCTACTACTGACGATATCCATGAATACAACTCTATGTTTTAGTGTTATACTGGGTAACTATTTAAACAATACAACTGTTGGCGCCACTTGCTCTGTCTCTGCCCATAAGCGTGCAACTGTAGTATAATTTCCTTTATCAGCTGTCTGCTCTCTCTTTGTTGATTGTTGAATCTTCTTCCATTCCTCTCGGACCATATTTGGTAGACACTTGCTGCAAACAGAAATCCAATGATGCCTGCTCTTGCTCTAGAATTATTAGTTCTTCTAGCTGCCCATTCGATTTCCTCTTCCCAGTTTCTGATTGGTCTCCTTTCCCCTAGCCAATGTAACAGTGTGCTCCATATGAACTTTGAATAGCCACAACCAAAGAAAAGATGCTCCAATGTCTCCACTGCAATAGTATTGCATAAAACACATTCCTGCTCCACTTGAATTCCCCATTTGTGAAGTCTATCCACAGTGGACAACTTCTTATGCATTGTCAGCCATAGTATAAAGTGGTGTCTAGGAACAATTCCCTTAGCTAAGACCAAGCGTTTCCATGAAACTTTCTGGAGCTGAGGCATAAAGGTTTGATATGCCTTCTTGATACTGAACTTCCCTCTTTCCTCACATGCTTTGAGATCATCTAATGGATTTCCAGATTGAGTCATCCATTTCCTTGCCTCAAATATTTTCCTGACCATCCAACTAGCTTGATTTGGGGTAGGCATGCTGGCCAGGTCTCTTCCTTTTATATATATGCTATGGATCCACTGCACCTATAACTTTTCCTTCTTTTCACCCACAGCCCATAATAGCTTGCAAATTGCAGCTTTGTTCCAGATAAAGAAATCCAAAATTTTCAATCCTCCTGCAGCCTTAGGCATGCATGTAGTGCTCCAAGCAACTAGGGCCCGTCTTGAATATTCATTACTACCAGTCCATAAGAAGCTTCTGCAAACATTTGTCACCATACTCAATATCTTCTTAGGCAATAAGAACACTTGCGCCCGGTATGTCTGCATCTCAAAGAGTACACTTTTGATAAGTTGTACTCTGCCACTATATGATAAAAATTTGGTAGTCCAGCATTTAGGTCTTGCAATGATCTATTCAACTAATGGAAGGCATTGATGGATAGACAGTTTTCTAGAAGACAATGGAATCCCCAAATATTTAAATGGCATCTCTCCCCTAGAGAAGTGCATCTCTTGCATTATCTGAGAACTAAACTCCTGTGTCACTCCTGCAACATAGAAGAAACTCTTCTCCAAATTAGCTTTCAGTCCAGATACACTAGACAAGTGATTGAATGCTTGCATCATCAGGGATATAGACATCTGATCAGCCCTACAACACATTAATAGGTCATCAGCAAAGCAAATGTGCACTACTCCCCTGTTAGCACATCTGGGATGGTAGTTGAAATCAGGATTGTGTCTAAGTTGCTTCAGGGACCTATTTAGATACTCCATAGCCAAGACAAACAGGTATGGGGACTTAAGAATCTCCTTGTCTCAAGCCCCTCTTAGCTTGAAATCTAGGGGTTAGGCCACCATTCAACACTATGGAGTAATTAACTGTGGATACACAAGTCATGATCATGTTTACTATCTTCTGAGGGATTCCAAATTCCAGCAAGACCTGTCTCACAAAATCCCAATTCAGAGAATCATATGCCTTCCTGATATCCACCTTCACTATGCATCTAGGTGATACTCCCTTTTTTGCATAACCTTTCACAAGCTCATGAGCCAGAATCACATTGTCCATGACAGACGATGAAAACTTAAACCGACATAATGGGGATTAGAATTAAGTGTGGTCTGTATACCTTTTCGAAGTGCAATCGTGTACTAGGAAGAGACAAGTTCGCAGTAGGAGCAGGGTCAGGTGCAGGACGAGAACCAGTTGGGCCTGATGTAGGGCGCGAACGACGATGATAAGTCAAGAGTGGTGTTCCTGTGGCTGGGGATCTAGGAGGAACAACACTAGACTCCTCAACGGTTGGTATGGGTGAAACTTCTGTGGTCGAAGGTGGAGGAGGAGCTATAGTAAACTCCTCAAAGGTCGGTATAGGTAAGACCTCAGATATATCATGGTGGTCAGCAGAGGTAAAGAAAGGTTTAGACTCAAAAAATGTGACGTCAGCTGACATAAGGTACCTACGAAGATCTGGAGAATAACAACGATATCCCTTCTGAACACGAGAATAACCAAGGAAGACACACTTGAGAGCACGAGGAGCTAACTTATCTTTCCCAGGGGCTAAGTTATGAACAAAACACGTGCTCCCAAAAACACAAGGTGGAAGAGAGTATAAGGGTGACCGGGGTAACAATACTGAATGCGAAATCTGATCCTTGATGGGATATGAAGGCATCCGATTAATCAAATAACAAGTTGTGAGAACTGCATCGCCCCAAAAACGCAACGGAACACGAGATTCAATTAGAAGTGTGAGAGCAGTCTCAATAAGTTGCCTATTCTTTCTCCCTACAACCTCATTTTGCTGAGGGGTATAAGGACAAGATATCTGATGAATAATTCCTTGAGAAGTCATAAACTGCTGAAACTGAGAAGATAAATATTCTAAGGCATTATCACTGCGAAAAATGTGAATAGAAACACCAAATTGGTTTTTGATTTCAGCACAGAAACTCTGGAATATAGAAAATAACTCAGAACGATTTTTCATTAAAAAAAGTCAAGTACATCTTGAATAATCATCAATATAACTAACAAAATAACAAAATCCCAAAGTTGAACTAACTCTACTAGGACCCCATATATCAGAATGAACTAAGAAGAAAACAGACTCTGCAGGACTCTCAACACTACGCGGAAAGGGGACTGGGTATGTTTCCCAAGCTGACACGACTCACAATCTAATGTAGACAAACTAGATAAACTAGGTACCATCTTATGAAGTTTGGATAAACTCGGATGTCCTAAACGCCTGTGGATTAGGTCTGGAGGATCTGTAATTAGACATGTTGTGGAAGGACTGAGTGAGTTAAGGTAGTAAATGCATTCTGATTCACGTCCTGTACCAAATGTCTGTCCCGTACTACGGTCCTGCATAATAAAAGAATCGTCAATAAAATATATACCACAATGGAGGGCACGAGTCAAACGACTAACAGATGCAAGACTAAAAGGACAACCAGGGACATAAAGAACGGAATCTAGGGTGATAGAAGACAAGGGATTAGCTTGTCCAACTCCTTTTGCCTTAGTTTGACATCATTTGGCTAAAGTAACAATGGGAAGAGACTGTAAATATACAACATTCGACAAAAGTGATATATTACCAGAGATGTGATCAGAACAGCCTGAGTCCATGATCCATGGTCCAACAGTACTAGACTGGGAAACACAAGCAAAAGAATTACCAGCAACAGAAGTATCAGTCTGAGCAACCGAGGCTACTTGTGGAGATGTCTGCTTACTTGCACGATACTGAAGGAGCTCATTATATTCTTCTTTAGATAAAGAAAATCCCGGGTTACATGTAGTCTCGGTCTGAGCAATGTAAGCATTTTGGGGTGGACGGCCATGTAAGGAATAGCACATTTCACGAGTGTGTCCAAGTTTGTGACAATAAGAACACTTGGGTCTAGATCTTCCAAAACGACCTCCTCCTCGTCTATTCTCCATAGTTCGAGACGCCCGAACATCCACTATTTGGGATGCGAGAACAGAGGAATCAAGTATATGTGATGAGATCACTGGGTGACTTGGTGCTGCAGCAAGGCGGAGTAATCGAGAGAATACTTCATCAACCGTGGGGACAGTCGGACTAGCCAAAATCTGGTCGCGTACTGAATCAAGATCATTAAGAAGTCCAGCGAGGGTAAGAACTAGAAACATCTTTTGCCGTTGCTCTTGTTGTTTTTCAACACTAGCAGAAACTGGCATCAACTTCTCAAATTCTTCCATGACTGCCTGTACTTGACCCAAGTAAGTAGACATATCTAATTCCTGCTTCTTTAAGTTTGTCATCCGCGATATCACATCATAGAAGCGAGATATGTCATTAGTGTATAAGGTACGAGCCTTTGCCCAAACCAAATAACATGTCTGGAATGGACGAAACAAGGGCATCAACTTGGAATCAATAGATCGCCACAAGATGCTACATAACTGAGCATCGATCTTTGCCCAAAGTGCTATCGCCTTTTCATCTCCTTCGCTAGACTGTTTGATTAGATGATCTTGAACACCTTGACCTTTACACCACAACTCGACAGATGAAGCTCAAGCTAAGTAGTTTGCACTTCCCATTAAAGGTTCTGAGGTAATCATTACACTAAGCTTCCAGAACTCATGTTTCTAAACCCAAAAACATCAAATCCCAAAGACATCGTTGCAAATTATTACCAAATAAGAGAAAGAATCAACTGTAATCCACTGAAACAGAGTAAGGAAATACTGTAGTCGTCGGAATCTTACTGTAGCTGCCAGAAACAAAAACTGTTCACACCGGAAAAATATAAAAGTGGTCGGAATTTGGTGTAACCTGGATGGGTAGGCTCGGAATTCCATTGCGAACAATCTGCCCCAAAGAATTTTTTCCAAAAAGTGACCGGAAAGGGCCCCCACGCGCTGGCGCGTGACGTCGGAACTTCGTCGGAAAAATTTCTTCCGACGGCGCATGGGAGCGCGTGGAGGGTCTTCTGACGGAGATATTTTTATGGGTTGGTCGTCGGAGGCCGATCTACTTTGTGATAGTGTTGGTTTTTGCACAACACTGACGAAAAATGGTTTGTTTTTTTTTTTACTGCGGCAGACCTGTGTTTGCCGGAAAAAAAGACTTCCGGTTGACTGATTTCTCTTCCCGGAGTCGCTGGAATTTATGCACAGCGA